AAGCAACAAGCAACATATGGGGCACAATGGGCAAGGATGTACTCTCCATCCGTACAGCACAACCTTAGTTCCATCGGTTCAAGAACGGTAAATTCGAACTCGACGATTTACCTCGTTCCGGAAGACCACTAGAGGTGAATATAGACGTCTTAAAGCAGCTTATCGAAGAAGATTCTAGATGGACTACATGGTGTTTAGCAGAGAGACTTGGGTGCTCTCATACTACAGTAGAAACACATCTGGGCGAATTAGGCAAAACGTGGAAATATGAAGTTTGGATACCACATGATTTGTCACCGAATCAGCTCCATCACAGGGTTGACGCTTGTATGAAATTAATGACGTCTCATCGCAACTAGCAATGGCTCCACAATCTTATTACCGGCGATGAAAAGTGAGTGTTGTATGTTAACCACACGCACAAACGACAGTGACTGTGAGCTGGACAAACAGGTTTACCAACGCCCAAAAATGACCTTCACCCAAACAAGATTATGCTGAGCGTTTGATGGGGAGTAAAAGGGATTATTCATTGGGAACTTCTTCCAACTGGCTGCACCATCACTGCCTATCTCTATTGTCAACAATTGGACTGAGTTGCAGCAAAACTGCAGGGGAAGCAGGATAGAATTTATTTTTTGCATGACAACGCCAGACCTCACATTGCAAAGTTAACGCGTGAAAAATTATTGAAGCTCGGATGGGTTACGGCTCCACATCCACCTTATTCTCTAGACTTGGCTCCTACGGACTACCACTTGTACCGTTCTCTGTCTAACCATTTATGCGAGAAAAAATTCGACGACGAGAACGACTTCAAAATGGACCTCCTCAACTTCTTTGACCAAAAGTCGCAGGACTTCTACGAACGCGGGATCCTTTCTCTACCAGAGCGTTGACGACAAGTCATAGATAGTAATGGAGCATACATTGTTGAAAGCTAGTTGTATTCTTGAAGTTAAAAAATAAAAATAAAATTTTCGAGAAAATCGCAAAAAATTGCTTACCAATCCAATAGATGATGACTTTTATTCATTTTTTCTTTTGATAAAAAAAAACATTTATTTATTTTTGTTGTTGTTTTGATAGATGAGATTTAATCTTTTTTTTCTTTTGCTAAGAAAAATCATTATGTTGATCATATAAGATTTTTCGTTGAACTAAAAGAAATATTAGAAATCTTTAGCAACTGCTGTTTTAAATAGAGAAAATGATCACTTACAATGTTGTCCAATTTTCTTTTATAAATTCCACGCGATCGTATTGGGTTTGAATGGCTCGAACTGAACACCACATATGAACAATCTTAAGTCGATTAAGATCTTTTGCGACAGGATTCGTAAGACTTTGAGATATTTCTTCAAAATCATGTAATTGTATTTCACGATCGTTTTTTTCAGCCATTAATTGGGCAAGCTGAAAGATAAATTTGTTGAGAAGAATGGTTGATTCATTTTTGATATACTTGTTGTTCCAATGTTATCAAAAACGACATTATGAAAAAGACAAGATATAAATATGATGTTGCTTTCGGTAATATAACTTAATATTACAAAAAACTAAAAGAGGAGAGAAATTTGATCGATAAACGAATATTGAAGAAATGAATAAACAATAAGTTGATTCCGTAAAGTATCCATAAATAACTATCCAATGTAGTATGTACGCGAATACTGAAAGGAAAAATTAACTTCTATGCAGGGCTGCCAACTCCTAATTTTCAAATGGGGTACAGAAGATTTATAATGGGGTACAGTTGGGGTACAAATTTTTTTAAAATGAGGTACACCATTGGGGTACCTCATTTTCTTCTGAAACA